AGTCTTTGCTGAAATGCCGAGAGGATGAGGCAAAATCTTGGCCAAGGTCAAACTCTGCTGATGGTCTGAGAGGGGGATGGCAGCCAAGTGCTCTGCACTTGTATAACATTGAAAAAAGAAAAACTAACCTAAGTCATCTTCTGTTCCTTTTTGTAGCCAACTTTTGTCCTGCTCATTGTGTCCAAGAACTCAGAGGGAGCCATATGTGCAACAGCTCAGGCTTACCAAACCTCCAGGGCCAAACATACATATCTTGATTAAGAAATGAAGCCAGCCAACAGGGCTTTAGTTGATTCCATGGGATATAAGGAGAAATTTCAGAATTTTAGATAAAGTTAGGGTCCATCGAGGAGAGGGCAGAGAAATGTAGTTAAGCTTCCTGTTTGGCTAGCTGCCTACTTTTTCTGAAACAAACAACAAAAGGACCCCAATTTGGTAGAAAGCAGGGGCTCATGTCTAGATCTAGGTGACTATTGTGAAGAGAGCTCCAAGATGAACACACTTGGTACAAATCTGTGTTACACAATGAAAAGCCAATCCACTTTGGGACTGAAACAAAGCATAAGGATGGACTAGAAATTGTATTTTCTGTCAGGTCATAGGGGATGGATCTATAGAGATAAATGTCTTCAGCAGCTTATAAAATGCAAACTTTAGATTTTGCACATGTCTGTCTAGTTGATGCCCAGGCAAAGGCAAAGGCAAGCAGGACAAAGTCCAAGGCAAGTCAGGGTTATACAAGACAGGCTCCAGAGATGCTTCCCTGTCTCCCTGTGAGTTCTTCATGTCTTAGGACTCACGGATGGATAAGAACGTGTTAACACTATGGATGCCTCCAATGTTCTTGGGCTGTCACAACACTGCACACAAAACACAGAAAGAGTATTTTTACTTACTGGTTTAAAGTTTTTTTTTTTTAAAGTACCCAATTGAATTCTCCATTACATACATATATACACACATATATACATACATGTATGTGTGTATATGTGTATATATGTATGTAATAGAATATATGTGTATATGTGTATATATGTATACATGTGTATGTATGTGTATATATGCATGTAATATATATGTATATATACATATGTGTGTGTGTATACATATATATATATAATCTTAATTTATTTACCCTTAAAATGAGAAACAGTCTTTCCCCACTCAATATCCTCCCATCTACAACACCTGGCACACCTGCCTCATTTCCCTTTTACACTTATCTCCTATTAAATCCTACAGCACTGGCAATATGGTTAAACATACAGATTTCCCTTCTCTCTTTCTGATTATTCAGTCGACTGGGCGACAGGGAAATGTGAGTTCCCTAGAGCCACACATCTCCGGTGAGACAGGTATTCTGACACCAGATGGAGAGAGCAGGCTTCTCCCTAGCCAATGAGGCCATGGTGTGGCATCCTGCTTCCCTCATTACCCTTCTTTCCATGCAGTCTCCATTCCCAGTGCTGGGGGTAGGACGAGAGTGTGCAACAAAGCACAAAGTACACAGTACTCAAGGGAAAGGGCCACATAAGGAAACAGTGGGGTGGATTACAGAATGCTACAGCTAGGAGGGCCCTTACGGCACATCTAATTCAAACCTCTATAGATACAGAAAGGAACCCAGAAAAGTGATCTGTCCAAAGGCACACAGCTGGTGGCTGGAACCAGAACCTCAGTCACCAGCACACTTTTCTCTGATCCTCCAATACATGACAGAACTAGGTATAGGAAAGAGCAAAATTTAAAGTTCAGTTCATGAACAAGCTCCCAGCCCACTCCATCCCCACTAAACAAATAAATGTACCTCCTTTAAAATTATCCATGTTTCAATCTCATTCCTTTTCAGCCCCCTGTAGCTTACTAAGCTCAAAATTCTGTTTCTTATCCAGGACTTAATAGATACCCTGGTGGCCTGAGTAGCCAGAATCTTAACTCCACCTTGGCGTGCTGCAACCTGAGAAGGGAGATCTTTAGGAAGCAGAAGTAGGGGCCAGGCGCTATGGCTCACACCTGTTATTCCGGCACTTTGGGAGGCCGAGGCGGGTGGATCACCTAAGGTCAGGAGTTCAAGACCAGCCTGACCAACATGGCAAAACCCCATCCCTACTAAAAATACAAAAATTATCTGGGCGTAGTAGCGCACGCCTGTAATCCCAGCTACTTGGGAGGCTGAGGCAGGAGAATCACTTGAACCCAGGAGGCAAAGGTTGCAGGGAGCCAAGATCGTGCCACTGCACTCCAGCCTGGGTGACATGAGCAAAACTCTGTCTCAAAAAAAAAAAAAAAAAAAAAAAAAAAAAAAGGCAGCAGCAGCAGCAGATTCTAAGTAGCCATTTCAACTCAGGAATATTCTGAACCCAAACATCATGCTTATAATAATGCTGCCTATAAATTTGGCAGCTTTTGAAGCTTATGCTGAGAGAAAGGCAACAGGCTACCCATCCAGCAAGAGAGAAAAATTTGAGAATAACAAATAGCAAAAAGCAAATGCTTTGAGTTCAGTCTGGAGGGTATGACATTATCTCCATTCAGTCACAACACAAAATGACCTTTGAGGCAGCCTGCACCGTATCAGAAGAGGGTACAACCCAGGATGCATGAACTAGGTCCTTTGACAACTCTATTCCTCTGCAAAGGCAGTTCTTGATTCTCTCTCAAATGATTAACCATTTGGTCCAGTTACCCAGTTTCTTTTCTTTTCTTTTTTTTTTTTGGAGATGGAGTCTTGCTCTGTCGCCCAGGCTGGAGTGCAGTGGCCAGATCTCAGCTCACTGCAAGCTCCGCCTCCCGGGTTTATGCCATTCTCCTGCCTCAGCCTCCCGAGTCGCTGGGACTACAGGCGCCCGCCACTTCGCCCAGCTAGTTTTTTGTATTTTTTTAGTAGAGACGGGGTTTCACCGTGTTAGCCAGGATGGTCTCGATCTCCTGACCTCGTGATCCGCCCATCTCGGCCTCCCAAAGTGCTGGGATTACAGGCTTGAGCCACCACGCCCGGCCAGTTACCCAGTTTCTAAGGCCCCCCAACCAGAATTGGCCACAGATAAAGCTGGTTAGAAAAAAAACCAATGATCTAATGTACTTCCCACCTTTCCAAATAACATGTTAGCATTTAAGCAAGGCCTTGCTTCCTCAAGCAAAGGGAGTGACTAACACACCTTCTAGCAGGCTGGTGGAATAGGTACTTTTGAACACATAGGCTGTGTGGCTGCATGTCATCCCTGCTCCATCGCCTGATGCAAAACTACTCCAGGACTGGGATAGGCAGAAGTTGCTGGGCTCTTGCACAAGGGACATCTTGGTGAATGCCTGAAAATTGTATCTGAATTCTGAAACAAAAATATTTGGGGGCTGGGCACAGTGGCTCATACCTGTAATCCCAGTACTTTGGGAGGCTAAGGTGAGAGGACAGCTTGAGGCCAGGAGCTTGAGACCAGCTTGTGCAACAAAGCAAGACCCTCTCTCTACTAAAAAAAAAAAAAAAAAAATTAGCCAGGCATGGTGCCACAGGCTGTAGTCCCAACTACTTGGGAAGCTGAGATGGGAGGACTGCCTGAGCTCTGGAGGTTGAAGCACCAGTGGGCCATAATTGCACCACTGCACTCCAGTCTGGAGTAAGACCCTGTCAAAAAAAAAGTATTGGGGAGATTGTGTATTATTTTTATGTTATTCAGATCAATCAATAATCAAAACAAGAATCATTCTTATGCCCTCTTTTAGTTTATCTCTTCCAACAAAAACTGATTCTTAGTTTACTCCTGAGGGGATTAGGTACGCTCGAAAAATGACCATCTTATAATAGAAAACATAGAAGACCAGAAAAAAAGATTCATTTAAAATACATAACAATTAGTAAACTAGCAAACTGAGAAAATATCTCCTTTAAAAGAAAAAAATGATACTTCTTATAAGGCTGAGACATAAGGAAGGGAAAAAAAGGAAGAAAGGATAAATGAATGAATGAAAAATTGAGAGGCAGGGTAAACTAAGAACTTAACTCACAGTCAAATGTTAGGGCCCCAAACTAACACGCAGAATAGGAAGGTGAACAAAACCTCTTTCTGCCTGCTGGATTCCTGAGAGTCTAAAATCCAGGATTAAAATGGCTTTATTTCAACAGAATACATTTTGTCATCTGATCTCTATCCGTGACATGGATAAGAATAAGTAACTTATGGCTGTGCTCTTAAGCGGTAACAGAGCCCTGAATATTGTGCCTCATTCACTTTGGGATGGCAAATCACTAATTGTTTACGTAGCAGGAAAAAAACATCTGCCTATAGCCTTTATTTTAAAATTTAAAATTTTATTTTTTTACTTTTTTACATTTTTATTTTAAAATAAATATAAACAGTATTTCCAAAAAACATTGACTACAAGGGGGAAATGAGGCAATAAGGTTGGAAGATGGGAAGGACTCAAGAAGAGATGCTGAACCTGCAAACACAAGATCAGGGAGCATGCAGAGAGGCCCTTGCTGTGACACCGTCCTCTCACTGCTACTCATATGAAGCTCAGTGACTATGCTGGGACACTGGAGCTAAAGGGTCAAAGAGAAGCATTTCATTCCTAAAAGGTGATGTCAATTTGTCCTCAACCCTGGCAATATGAGTTCCCCTCTTCACAATCCAATTCTAAGATTCTAGTTTTAAGAAATTACCGAAGATACAGCCAAAGAGATATACACAAGAAACTTTATCACATCATCACTGATAATAAAAGTATCTGAAACAACCAAAATTTTCAACAGTGTGGGGATGGATAAGGTAGAACCACTAGAAATTTATTTTCAAAGATTTAAAAACATAGGAAGTTACTCGTGATACCATGTTAATCAGAGGATAAAGTTAGGATACCAACCTGTATCTATGTATGACCTTCAATTTTGTTTAAATATTATACACCTTATATGCACTTTTTAATACTCAAAGGAAATTCATAAACATATCAGCAAAGTTTAGCTCTGTTCTAGATGGAGAGAAGATGGCTAATTTTTATTCTTTGTTTAGACTCTTCTGTAATGAGCATTGTTACTTTTATATCAGAAAAATAGACATTTACCATAAAATAAGTCTACCCTCAAATCTCTCATTTACGATGACAATTGTCAGTCTTAGGAAAAGCCTGCTGAAGTTCAAAGCAGACTCAAAGAAAAAAGATTCAAATCTACACAGTAACTCTCTCCTGAAAAGGATGAGAAATCTTGTGTGACGCAGTCTGGCTTTTTCCTCTACTTTGCTACTGGCTCTATTTTACTGCGCCTTACAGAAAGCTCCATGGGAGAACCCATTCCTTAGCACCTTAAATGACCTTAAGTGTTTCTTACCTCTTAGCACAAGGATTAGAAGGAAAGAAAATGAAACCGCCCTACTCCCTTGTTTCAAAGGAAAAATTTTTCTTGCAAAGCTATCAAAATGACTTAAAATCAGGTATGCAAAATTTGAAACATAAGTCATGAGTTACGTTCAGTAACCAGTCGCTTTTTTTGCAAGAATGAATATAAAAACAAATCTATGAGTGCCCTCTTGTGGCAAGCCTGACTATTACCACAACCCAAGTACCAGCCTCTCCCCATCTATTTCCACAGCTCCACTCCTGGGCTCCGCATAACACAGCCAGGAGGCAGAGACCCCATAATAACCCACTATAGTGAACGCACATTCCTCAGAGTGGCTGGTACTATTTGTTTTGAAGGATTTCTAGTTTAGATCCCAGAAATGCCTGCTTGAAGACAAATGGGAATGAAGGGTCAGAGGAGCAAGATGCAGGATGTGCACGTAGGTTCGTGGGCTGCTACTGATGGCCGATGGTGACTGTGTATGGTATATCCATGCACACATACCATGGCACTGCCAGGAGGCAGGGACCTGTAGGATAAATAGCCCCTTCCCTAGGAACACTTACCAGTTTTATAAAGTCGTGAAGTTTTACATTCACATCCAGTGAGCCTTGTGCTTACAAGAAGTTTTATTTATCAATTTTAAAGCAAACATCACCAGCTTGGGCACAATTCCAAAATAGAGCTCTTGTTGGATTCTGGTCATAAAATTCTTTTTTAAGCTTGTTAAGATCTTATAAAATAAGAAAGTTTTCCTAATACTTTAGAAAAAATACTAATCATTAATAAGTCAATTTTATACTCAAAGTGATGGCCTAACATTTTGAAAGATGAAACACTCCTCTTTTGAACATCTAATGTATTAAGTAACCTCGGTGTCCCAGGCTTCAGAGGAGACAGAGAAGTCCTCATATTGCAACCTGACCAGATGACTCTGGGAGTGAATTAAATGCTTAAAAGAGGTCTTGCAAATTCGATGAAGCACAGAATATAGGGAAACTGATACTGATTCGGATAAAAAATAACATTCCCCTCAGAAAGTGGTGAAGCTAAAAATCTTGCAGTTCTGGGGCAGGAGAAGTGCAACAAGCAGGCAACAAATAGCATGAAAGGAAAAGCTGAGTGAATTTCAAAGTTCTATTGGGAGATGGAGTTCGTGGTTCTTTCTGCCCCACCCTGGTCAAAGGCTCATTTCCAGAAAAGGATTTCTCCCAGTGACAGGGTGGAAGCATGTGGCAGGAATTTGCTGTTTGGTCCTGAATGTGTAAAGGAAAGCCTTTTCAAGTACGTGAAGTAGACTGAAGTGACCCAGATGGGATGGATCTCAACTACATGAGTTATGGGAGAGCATGAAGCCAAATAAATGATAATGATGAGGTTGAACTGGGAAAATAAATTTGACTCCTTGCTCACTTCTCCAGCCTTTGGAAGAACTTTTTCTTCCCTCTTAACGGGACTGATATACTGGACAGCCCCTGTTAGAGATACACTGAGGCACCAGACAAGGAAGAAATGCATTAAAAACATTTTTTGAAAGTCTTGACAAGTCACTTCTGGGAGAATTCTTCATTTTTCCTCTGCACAGGGACAGCAGAAGAGCGAGAGTAAAAATAAAGGCCAAGGCCTCTCTTGTCCACAAAAATAAGAGAGGATAAAAGACCCTGCCCACTTAAAATCCAAAACCATAAACTTTCCTTCAAACAATATCTTTGCTCCAGCAGAAGCATCCTAGGATTAGTCTAGGTTAGTATTCTGATTCGTGTCACCCAGGTTTTGACAATTAATGATGTATTAAAATGGGAAGAGGCGACTCTTCAACCTTGGCTCCAGCTTCCCACCTGTCCTAACTGGGAGGAAAGCAGCTATCATGACAGCTGGATGGGAAGATCTTCCCCGAATTTCCGGAGCAGCTTCTGATGGTTGTGGTCCACTGACCACTGCTGGGGCAGGTGCTTGGGCTGCATGGAGTCCAGGAAGTGCTGACGCCAGCGGCTCTCTAGCTGCATGAGGGAGCGCAGCCCACCCTGGCTGTGACACTGCACCACCTTCAGCCCATGAGGAACATAGTTTTCATTGGAGATTCTGCCAAGACACGAAAAACAAAGGGTCTGAGGGAAACAAGCACAGGATGGCCTCACAGCTTCAAATGCTGCAGGCCAAGGGTAAATGGGGAGGTTGAAGGACTCCTAACAGGTTACTTTGGTGTTTTCCAAACATCCTCTTTCTTATCTCTGCCCTTTTTTATAGACTGAACATACAACTCACAATCCCAACAGAAGGTATTCCAGGGTTCTGAGCCCTACTGACAGGAAGGCCACTGCATAATGTTTAGCTCCCACGAGAGGGCCCCTACCATCCAGCTGATAATGGATGAAGAATGCTGGTCTTCCATTTCTTCCAGGATTACCCAGTGACCAGTTCACCCCTCTTTTAAGTTGTTCATTCTGGGACACAGTATTTATATGAGGCTGTTAAATCAGCCCACATGTTACACTTTTTCACAACACAATTTAATAACTGAATGTAAAATGCAAGGTAGCATATTTCTTTAAAGCCTTCTTTCTCACAAAAAGATGCCAAGCCACAGTGGTGAGAAGTGTTTTGGTCACAGTGATATGCTAACCATGGTTGCTCAGTTGTGCAAATGGTGCCATTAAATGAGATGAATCCCTCCCTCCTTCCTAAGCAGAGTCCTTCAAAACTGCTCCAATGCCATGTGAATGGTGCTTTCACCTCCTGTGAATAAAGATGGCCTTCCTCAAGGAAGTACCCTGCCCACACACACTCTTCTCTCCCTACATTCATACCCCACTTTCAATCCTCCCTCCCAAGACGCCCACCATCCCAGCAGTGTTGGCGTCTCTGGGTATCTGCAGACACTTTATTATTAATATTTAGCTCATGCGCTTCCCACTAACTTGTCTGTCTCCAAACAACTGTTCTTCTCAGTCACAAGTCCAGCATTCATCTATCCAATTCAGCAAGATGAATTTGTTAGAAAAGTCTGTGGCTGAAAGGGGAGGTTTACCTGCTTTAGAAAATATTGGCGGCTGGGCGTGGTGGCTCATGCCTGTAATCCCAGCACTTTGGGAGGCCAAGGCGGGAGGATAACTTGAGGCCAGAAGTTTGAGACCAGCCTGACCAACGAGGTGAAAACCCTGCCTCTACTAAAAATACAAAAATTAGCCAGGTGTGGTGGCACACACCTGTAATCCCAGCTACTTGGGAGGCTGAGGCAGGAGAATCGCTGGAACCCAGGAAGTGGAGGTTGCAGTGAGCTGAGATTGTGCTACTGCACTCCAGCCTGGGCGGCAACAGAGTGAGACTGTCTCAAGAAAAAACAAAAGGAAAACAAAAGAAAACATATTTGGAAATGGGTCAAAGTAGTCAGCCTCTCTAATTTGTAATATATATGACCTTGGCAAGTTACTTAACTGTAATCTCAGGGTATCCAACAAAAAACTTACAAAACAACATCTATTCTACAACCTCACAAAATAGCTATGGGGATAAAATTCTATAATTCTTTTAAAACTTTGAAATATTTTTAAAATTTAAGATATAATAGCAGTTAACCAGTAAGAAATCTAAATCCTACTTTGTCGGGTTGTCATGAGAAACAATTAAGGAAATTTATGTGAAGTTTATTAGCTGGTTTGCTGCAAGATTTAGTGTATCTATAAATATCTGTTCAATAAATATTTGCAGTATCTGTAATGGATCAGTAGCATGAGTAAAAAAAATTTTTGTTTTCTAAAAAAAATTAAATATTTGCTTATAATTAGAGTTACTTTTTAATTTTTCAGTTAACAAAAACCCTATAGGCAACCAGCATCACTCTCAAGGTTTTGTGAACTTATCGGTTCCCTTATTTCAACTCCTAGTCCTGTTGGAAAAAGTGACAGTTGGGAGGCAGAACTGCACATGGTAGCCCAGAGTTCTTACCATCTGAGCCATGAGCCCATTCACTTCTCATTTCAGAACACTACATTGTGTCACATGAATTCAACTATGTACTCATGGAGAAGGAGGGAGAAAGCAAGGAAGGAAAAAAGAGAAAAGTAATTTACAGAGTAACAGCAATTCTGCTCAACATTCCATTCAGTGGGCCGATACCCTGGAGTGCAGGTGAGATAGGAACTATGAATTCATTAGTCACAGTTCTCACAGACCTGTATAAAGTCAGAGACACAAAACCACACATAGAATTGGCCCTCCATCTTTGTGGGTTCTGCATCTGTGGATTCAAACCTCAGATCAAAATGACTTAGGGCCAGGCACAGTGGCTCATGCCTGTAATCCCAGTTCTTTGGGAGGCCAAGGCAGGTGGATTGCTTGAGGTCAGGAATCTGAGACCAGCCTGGGCAGCCTGGTGAAACCCCATCTCTACAAAAAATACAAAGATTAGCTGGGTATGGTGGTGCATGCTTGTAGTCCCAGCTACTTGGGAGGCTGAGGTGAGAGGATCACTTGAGCCTGGGAGGTGGAAGTTACAGTGAGCCAAGAGAGTGCTGCTGCACTCCAGCCTGGGTGACAGAGCTATATACTATCTCAAAAACACACACACACACACACACACACACACACAAAACTATTTGGAAAAAACAACTATCTGTACTATCTGTACTGAACACATACAGACTTTTTTCTCATTACTTCATAATAAAATATAAAAACTATTTACATAGCATTTGCATTGTATTAGGTATTATAAGTAATTTACAGGTGATTTAAAGTATACAGGAGGATGTGTGTAGGATATATGCAAATGCTACGCCATTGTATATCAGGCACTTAAGCATTGGTGGATTTTGGTATCCAAGGGAGGTCCTGGAACCAATCCTCCATGGATACTGAGGGTTGAATGTACTGTATCTCATGGGGAACTTCAGAACTTTGACGGCATTATTGGACTATTCATCTCATGAGCTGGCATGAGGATTTACATCTGCATAGAATGTGTAAGATGCAGCTCCACCACAACTGCACTCTCATGCTAATCACAGAAATGACTGAACTTTGTATGATCTTAAAAAAGGTCAAAGATAGAGACCTCACAAAAAGCAAGTTTCCTATGGAAAGGAAATCCTCAAGTAGATTGTTCTATTCCACTTCTAAAGTATCTTAAACTACTAGACACCTACTAGGTGAAGCATGAGGCTAGGCACTGTGCCTAAGCAGCCAATGCCCCCTCCCTGGCAAGCATTCTCACTAAGTAATGAGGGTTAATGTCCCTGGTACATCCCGCACTCCCTTCTCTGACCAGATCTGTGCTTTGTACCTGGTCTCCAGGCTGGCAGCCTCTTGAAGCATCTCCTCTGTGACCATGTCTGTGTTATAAAACTCTCTGAGTGCTTGCAGCAGCTCCTCCTTTCGATGAGCAGGCAGGCTCTCTGCGTTGAGTAGGGCCCTGGCCCCAGAACGCACCTGCCGACGCTCAGGATCTTCCAGCAGGCGCAAGCCCTCCTCAGAGCCAATGGGGGCCTGGAATTCCTTGGCCAGCTGCTGCTTCAGATGGTTGTCATAGTAGTTGGAAATGGCATGGCAGGAGGTGCAGAGCAGCAGCACATCGTGGGAGTTGTGGTCCTTCATCTCGATGGGGAAGTGCTTCCGGTACTCATGTGGAATCACGTTCTTCCTGGAACAAGCCCAGCCAGAAAGCAGCACTCATGAGTGTATGACAGAGCACACGGGAAGACAGCAGACAGGCTACTGGGGTTCTAACTGGGGCCTAACCATGACTGGGAAGCCTTGGGCACCACCGCCCAACACAGATCACAGAAAGGCAGTATCACCTATTCCACTCTCAGCCCATCTATGTCTTAGCTTCCTCTCTCCTGCAAGTACAGACCACTTGCTGTGGGCTTCAATGGAGGGCCAGTGTAGCAAGAGGTTAATAACAACCTCTGAGAGGGCTGTGCTCCCAGAAGGGAAAGTCTCAGAGAACTGAAAAGATACTCTAACGGCCTTTTGACACCTGGACAACAACTCTCTCAAGAAGGCCTAGGAACCTGAAAAAGCCAATTTCCTTCATCTGAGAAGCAAATACCTTACTCTATTTCCCTGCTTCACCAGGGTCCATCATTATTTTCTAAGGAGAACTAAGCTCTCAGGAAAAACTCTTGGCAGCAATGACTTTGTCTCACTTTGCAGGGGAGAAAGGAGGAGAGTGAGTGACTCCACAGAAGCCAGGGAGAAAGCCCAAGTGTCTGGGCACTCAGGCGTAGTTGGCAGCCTCACTCTCACGGTGCAGGGACCCTGATGTGAAACAGTATTACAGCACAGGGCAGGCTTCAGGACATCTGGATACTCCACGAACAAAATCATGGCTCAAAAAGCTGGTGAGCCAGTCAAGAGAGGATGAGAAGGACACAGCTTCTGAAGGAACTGGTCTTCAGTCTTTCATGAGCAAAAGGGAACCACTTTCCACATGACAGACCATTACTGAGCATAGTGTTGCACTCCAGAAACTGAGAAATGGCTCAGGAGGGGTAAAGGCCACTATAGCAAGGGCAGCAGAATACCAAAGCTCTTGGGGAAGCTGGATGCCAGGGACAAGCCTCTCAGCCAAAGTAGACAGACTCAGTCACAGCCCCCAAAGGCTCCGCATATGGCTACAAAAGCAATTTCCATCTGCCACAGAGAACCAGGGTGGCCCAATGCCACACTCACCGAATGTAGGAGTCTCTCTTGCCACACACTACACATAGGTTCTCTTTAACCATCAAGTAATAGTCTCCAGGCGATTCGGGCCTTCCTGCAGGTTCAAACCGTAGCTTCACCACAAAGGGCTCTTCACTCACCAGCTCTTAAGAGAAGAGACATCAGTGTTTCACTGTTCCCCCTGCCCCCACCACCACACCCAAGAAGCAGCACTACCTTCACTGTTCTCTGCTATGGCCTGGCAGAGAACAAGATTTCTGGGTTGTGCCTACCCAGTCCCATGCATCTCAAGGTCTCTCTGCCTTCCTCTATCCCTCCCTCTTCCTTATCTCATTCCCCACTCCTGCCAGCATCCAAAGCACCTAATTAGAGATAAACAAGGACAGCTGAATCTCATACCACCAATGCCTTTGTCCAGGTACCACTGAGCTTTTCTTCTATCACAAGTGCAGAGGGGCTGTCCATCAGGAGCATGGAGAAAGCAGTTATCATAAAGAGGTGATTTTCTGTGGGGAAAGGAAAGAGAAATCTCAAACCGAAAGCTAACTGTGGGTCAAAATGTCTGTTGCTTTCCCATGCTCTCTTGAGTGACTCAAACTACTCTCAACACTAAGCACTAAGGTCAAACACACCACTATGGAAAAAACAAACAGAGTGAGAAACCATGTTTAATCCTCACCTGCATTGGGCTAGGAAACAGAACTAAAAATGAATTAGTTTATGCCTCTAGTTTTTAAACTTAAGGATTAGGACATTAGGGAGTGTGTCGGGTGGTTTACACACAGCTTTTCTGTGAATGCAAAAAAGAACCAAGCAACAAGAAAACTGCCAAATCACTGGGTGAAACAAAGTAAATTAAAAATTTTAAAGTTGAAGCCAAAGTAATGAGGGCCATGTGGATTTACTTCTAACTCACATGCAATAACACTTCCTTCAATTTAGTCATCCAATTAATTCCTTAAGGCATTTTGCTACAGGGACCAAATTTATGCTCCAAAGTACTTATTAGTCATCTTCCTACAATAGAGGAGTAAATTATACAGGAAATTTTTCATTGGCTAGAGAGTAACATTTTCTTGGAGCTGGATGTCATTCTAAATAATTAATTAACATACGAACAAGAAATCAGATGATGCATTTCTCCTGAAAAGTATGAGGCACTACGTGTTATTTATTTTCGTAGCTAGCCTGAAACAAGGAAGGAATGATAATTATACCCCCATTTACAGTTGGAGAAGTTAAGGCCTAAGGTCACATCAGGGTCAATGACAGAACTAAGCTAAGCTTTCCTCATTTCCACTCCAACTGTCAAAAAATAAAAAAGTAAAAGAGGGGAAAAGGAGAAAAATACATAAATACAGCAAAGGAGAGTCCAAACGTCTCTGATGGAAAGAAAAAGCAAGATTAACCCCTGGAGAGCTGCTGCTCCCCTACTACAAGCCTTCTCCCCAGACCCAAGGGAAGCACCACACCCTTTGCTAAGGCTGGGACTGACTCTTTACTAGACAGGGAGTGACTCAGTTACCTGGCAGAATAGCCCACCCCTAGGGGCTTTCTTTTATGTTTTCTGGGGTCTCTCCCTTGGTGGTGGCCTGGCACCATCCCATCCATCTTAGACTTCTTATGTTTTGGCTTCTGCTGAGATTCTGTTGCTTCCCCATTAACCTCTTCTCCCAATCTGCTCATTCCTTTGCTTCGAAATGGGATGTCGACCACACCCTGGCATTTTTCCAAGACTTTTCTCCAGCTACTGTGGTCGTTTTTTTCTCCAGGTGAATTCCTAGAGAAAGGGTATCCAAGAAGATGAAGAAAGAGAGCCACTGAAATCTGGGCATCCCTGGCAGCATAAATTACCTGAAGAGAAAAGTCAGAGATCAGTGGAATCTGGAAGGCAAACCAGAGAGAGCAACTTCAAAGTCAATCACAAAGAAATAGATAGCTCTTAGGATCCTAATTCAAAATGTACGACAACCTAGGCACCATATCCTTCCTTAAACTTTTTATTATAAAAATTTTCAAACTATACAGAAGTAAATTGAATAGCATGATTAACTCTCATGTTCCCTATGTTTTTCACTAAAATAGCTAAAATAATGACTTACTCTAAATGCTGGAAAATCCTCACCTATATAAATCAGTGAAGTTTCTATCTGCTACTAAATTGCTGGACAGATTTCTCTCAACTTTGGGGGAAGGGTAGTTAACAAAGGCCTGATAACTAGTACATGAAATTCACTTTGGAGGCAGTCATCCTCTGGAATAGCTGAAATCATGATTCATTAAGAGGTCTGTGTGACTGTCAATCAGAAATGACTTGCCATATCCATTAATAAGATATTGAAAACAAATAGGTTTCAAACATGGGCCTCAAATCAAAGTCACAGGGCCCATTCCTGGAATTTATTTATTTAATAGTAGTAAGTCATTCTCCTAAGCAACTGGTGATACGCAAGCCGGTCATAAAGAAAAGTACTGTGGGCCAGGCGCAGTGGCTCACACCTTTAATCCCAGCACTTTGGGAGGCCAAAGCGAGTGGATCACCTGAGGTCAGGAGTTCAAAACCAGCCTGGCCAACATGGTGAAACCCTGTCTCTACTAAAAATACAAAAAATTAGCTGGGTGTGGTGGCGGATACCTGTAATCCCAGCTACTCGGGAGGCTAAGGCAGGAGAATCGCTTGAACCCAGGAGGTGAAGGTTGCAGTGAGCTGAGACCGTGCCACTGCACTCCAGCCTGGGAGACAGAGCAAGACTCCATCTCAAAAAAAAAAAAAAAAAAAGGAAAAGTACTGTGGTCAAAACTAAAATTCAGCTGGGCGCGGTGGCTCATGCCTGTAATCCCAACACTTTAGGAAGCTGAGGCGGGCGGATCACTTGAAGTCAGGAATTCGAGACCAGCACAGCCAACATGGGGAAACCCCGTCTCTACTGAAAATACAAAAAATTAGCTGGGCGCGGTGGCACGCACCTGTCATCCCATCTACTCAGAAGGCTGAGGTAGGAGAATCACTTGAACCTGGGGCTTGAACCCGGGAGGCAGAGGTTGCAGTGAGCTGAGATCGCAGCACTGCACTCCAGCCTGAGCCACAGAGTGAGACTCCATCTCAAAAAAAATAAAATAAATAAAATAAAAATTTTAAAGACTAAAATTAACAGGTTTTCCCAACAAAAAGTATAAGGACTTTAAAATTCTATTACTTCACCTTTAATAACCAAGCCAGTGAATAATTCTATTAGTAAGGATCATTTATACTTTTAGAATAAAACAAGTTTGGATAAAATTTTCCACCTAGATCCAACGATCTACATATCTATTAGCAGACTGTTTCCCACAGAAGAATGTGTACTTGAATGCAAAGACTTCAGAGTTCTCTTTAACACATTATTTTCTAATGATAAAGAAACAAATGGTACTAGGATGACTGGAGGTCCACATGAAAAAGAGTGAATGTGGACCCCTACCTCACAAGACACACAAAAATTAACTCAAAATGGATCACAGACTTAAATGCAAGAGCTAAAACTATATGACTTTTAGAAGAAAACATAGGAGCCAATTGTCATGACCTTGGATGAGGCAATGATTTATTGACTGTGACACCAAAAGCATAAGCAATTAAAAGAAGAGATTTTTAAAAAGAAACTGATAACTGGAGCTCATCAAAATTAAAAACTATTGTGCTTCAAACAAATAATGGGAGAAAATACTTTATAGATCATCTATCGGAAAAGGATCTAGAATATCCAAAGAATACCTAAAACTCAAAAATAAAATAACAAATGACCCGATTAAAATATGGGCAAAGGATATGTATGAATACACATTTCTCCACGGAGGATATACAAATGGCCAATACGCACATGAACAGACGCCCAGCATCATTATTCACGAGGGAAATGTAAATCAAAACCACAATGAAATACCACTTCATACCTACTAGGATGGCTCTAATGGAAAAGACTGACAATAACAAATGTCAGGAAGGATGTAGAACACCGGCACCCTCATACACTGCTGGTGGGAATACAAAATGGTGTAGCTACTTTGGAAACCAGTTAACATTTCTCAAGGATGAACAAGTGGTAACTGACCCAGCAAACAAGGTTGAAACTAGGCCTATGCAAGTGGTATGGCAAAAAGCCTAAGTTCTAATGGGTTTAAGCCACAGAACCAGGAAAGCATGAGGAATGGAGACACCAGGTATCTGTGAAGGCAAGGGTGAAAACAGAAGGGTAAGGTGAAATCTCCACAGAGAACACTTACACCCTGCTCTCCTCCTTTACAGCACAGGGCCAGACAACTATCCCTCCCCTAGCCCAAAACACAGTAAAAGTTTAAATCATATAATGGTTAAACCACAGAGGATCTGGACCTGGTAATACCATGCACAACTGAAGGGAGGGATGAAATGTCACCTGAAGAAAGGGGGATTAAGGGAGAGATTACACATTGAATGTTAAGACCACTGGCACCTTTCCCCCACTCAGTGACTGGAATATAGGTAGTAGGGCTTACGCTTCTTAAATAGAATACTAGAAGATTCATCTCTGGAGAAACTAAGTCACCTGAGAGAAAAGACACAGTTACTGACATTTTTTTTTTTACTTCTCTTGCTCCCTTTCTCAAGAAGCTGTTACGAATGTACTCCGCCAAAGCAAGAAAGGAAAAAGACATGGAATTTAAAAAACAGAGGATCTACTATGAAAGAGAGAGGTGAAGGGAATTCCAGGCTGATGGTAAATGCAAATTCCAGGATGAGAGTTGGGCAGCAGGCCTAGAGTGCAGTCCGTCCTGGGAGGAGCCAGATGAGAGAGGGCTCTAGGAGAGAAGGCTCCAAGGGAAAATGAAACAAGTAAGTGATCTGATGTGTGTCTGAACCAGCCCAGAGGAGATCCATAGTTCTGGTAAGGAGTCTGGGGTGGAAACAATAGGTACATGGACACTATGCAAACAAAATACTAATTATTAATCCTGGGAAATAAAAGTAACTGCAGTTTACTATGTGACTCAGCTATAAATAATATAAATACTGGATATTAACCTGATAAAAATGATGATTTGCCTAAATTGGGAGGATGGGGAAGAGAAGTATTTGTCTAGGGGCAGGGGAGCTGCAAGAGTACTAAACCATATCTTCCATAGTATGAAGTCAAAAGATAATATATATAGATAAGGAAGAATAACGCATGCATGTAATTTAGAAGTATAATGATAATTACCAGAAAGAAATGAAAGTGGTTGCCTCTGAGGAGAAGAAGGATTAGGAATGGGGAAAGGTAATACAGGGAACTATTTACTGCTTCTTAAAATAAGTTATAACTCCTACACACTTATAACACTTTTTTTTTTAAATTATGCATTTGTATTCATAAAAAAAAAAATCCCTTTTTCTGAAATGCCCAACATATAGTAAAAGGTCAAAAAAATCAGGACTCTTGACCGGGTGCAGTGGCTCACACCTGGAGGCTGAGGTGGGCGTATCATTTGAGGTCAGGAGTTCGAGACCAGCCTCACCAACGTGGTGAAATCCCATCTCTACTAAAAATACAAACAAAATTAGCCGGGTGTGGTGGTGCACGTCTGTAATCTCTGAGGCTGGAGAATTGCTTGAACCCAGGAGGCAGAGGTTGCAGTGAGCCAAGATCGTACCACTGTACTCCAGCTTGGGTAACAGAGTGAGACTCCACCTCAAAAATGAAACAACAGCAGGACTCTTATCTTTTATTTAAGTGATTATTTTATTGTAGATCAGTTAACTGGATTATCACCAGAGAATGAATCCATTTTAAGGCATCTCTATCCAATACTTATACTATATTTGAGAATTTTAATTTTGGTTTTTTTTTTTTTGAGATGGAGTTGCGCTCTGTGGCCCAGCCTGGAGGGCAGTGGCGCGATCTCTGCGGACTGCAAGCTCCGCCTCCTGGGTTTACTTACGCCATTCTCCTGCCTCAGCCTTCCAAGTAGCTGGGACTAAAGGCACCCGCCACCACGCCCGGCTAATCTTTTGTATTTTTAGTAGAGACAGGGTTTCACCGTGTTAGCCAGGATGGTCGCGATCTCCTGACCTCGTGATCCGCCCGCCTTGGCCTCCCAAAGTGCTGGGATTACAGGTGTGAGTCACCGCGCCCGGCCGCGCCTGGCTGAGAAGTTTAATTTTATAAACAGTTATACTTCAGAAATAATGACCTTCCATTCTTCAACTACTCTGATAAGAAATACCTGGTCCTCTGTAAGAGTCTCAGCATCCCAGTTGCTGCAACGAAGTAGAAGGGACTTGTCAAGGGGAAAGTTCAAAACAGTCTCAGCAAGGGATTTCAGGCTAAGCCCATTACAGAGCAAATTGTTTCTAAAAGAAAGAAATAAATACAACCATGCATCAAAAATGGGCAAAGGACATGAACAAGGAAATCAAAAGAGACATATAAATAGCCAATAAACAGAGATAACGTACTCAATCTCACTAGACATCAAAGAAAATGATAATTTATCTACTTGTGAAACACTTTATAAATCCTTTCTGTAGTTTAACTCATTTAATACTCACACCAATCCCAAGAGGTGGCTACATTATCATCCCTACTTTACAGATGAGGAAACTGAGGAACAGAGAGGCTTAGTACTGTGCCAAAGGTCATACAGCTGGCAAGTGGCAGCCCTGAGACTCCTACCCATGCAGTCTGCTCCCAAGTCAGCTTTTAGCCTCTATCCACACTGCCTCGAACAGCACACAGTGACAGTGGCACCTCTGGGGAGCTGGTGCCAAAGAAAGGAGGGCCTGATGAAGGGAGGCTTTTACTGTTATACTCCATAGACTTTCACAGTTTTAATTTTTACAGCAATATTATCTTAATGTATTACTTTAAAAAGTTATACTTCACTTATAAGAGCTTTATATAAGCCAAACTAACAAACTAAAATAAAATTTCATTTTATACTAAAAAATTGTGGTAAGCACAGATTTTAATCAGGCCTTCTCTTAGTTTACCAAATCTCCAACCTTTTAGTGACTCTGTCACTTCAGGCAGGGCAAGAGGCTGTTTCTGTCCATGATGTTATAAGCGAGGACCCGTACATAAACATGAGGAGGTAATTATGACCCCCCGCCCCAAAAAGACAAGCTGAAATCAAATTTCCATAGGAATAAAATTCTAAAGGAAATCTCTCTTCCTCCCAGATAAGGGCCGGTCTACCATCATTTTGGGCCTAAAGCAGGGTCTGTAAATTCAAAGGCTTATCAGGAGGAGCCAGGGGTAACAATGGGAGTGGTGGGGACTCTGGCAAACTGAACAGAGCATGCTCATCTAAAGGGCACATATGCTACCCAGTCAAATGCTACCATCTAGAACTGTAGACTCAGTGTAGTCAGATTACCTAATTTTTCAAGAGAAGCCAGAAATACAGATTTTTACATTAAATCTTCTTGATTTAAATAAAAAGTTCCAAAAATGTCATACAGGAAAAAAGAAAACTAAAAACCGTTTGCAGCCATAATTTAGCCAATGGGACCACCAGCTTTTAACCTGTAGCTGTGAGATACCTCAGTAATGTTTGATCTAAAAAGACTAATTCTAGGTAACCAGAGTTTCACAGAAGTTGGAATGTCTTCTCACAAATTCAATATGCATCTTAGAAGCCTGTAGGCTCCTAGACAATTTCACATGTTTCACTACTGATTCCCAGGCATCTACAAATCTGGCTAAAATATTTGTCCCACAGCTACAGGAATCCTAGCATTCATACAAACCACACCTCTGCCGCATGGCTAGGTATCGGAGGTCCAGGCACCCCCTAACAACAAGGCCGTAATCCTGCAGAAGCTTGCTGGCATCTTCTGAGCATCCCACTCCAACTTTCAAAATGGTGCCATCTGCCAAAATATTCAGTAATGTTCTTGGTAGTGTTTTTCCTCCACAGATTAGCTTAGGCAGGCGAATCAAGACACAGAGGCCACTTGGGGAGGCCATTTGTAGAAGTGACAGAGGGCTGGCTTTGCCTTCCAAATTTACCTGCAACAGAGGAAGACAGGGTTGTGGTTCACACCTTAGCACAGCAGCAAGCAAAACATATAACTGTGACAAAAAAGTCTAAGAGGTACATCCTTAAATTCCCAAAGGGAGCATCTGACCAGGTTTTGGTTTGCATCTACAGATAAGCCTACAGTAACGAATGCAATGGACTTTGTGAAGCAGCAGCCTAAACAAAGGTTACCAAGAACCCCAAACACCAAGGCCTGAAATACGAGTGGTCCATAAACAGTGACCAGCCGACACAGGGGAGCTCTGGGACATACACTGGCAGTCATATGGAACATGCTGGTTTTACAAGGCTAAGGAGGCCGGGCACGGTGGCTCATACCTGTAATCCCAGGTATTTTTGGTAGAGTTGTAACCCTAACTCTACCAAAAATACAAAAATTAGCTGGGCATGGTGGCACATGCCTATAATCCCAGCTACATGGGAAGCTGAGGCAGGAGAATCACTTGAACCCAGGTGGCAGAGGTTGCAGTGAGCCGAGATTGCGCCACTGCACTCCAGCCTGGGAGACAAGAGTGAAACTCCATCTCAAAAAAAAAAAAACAGCTAAGGAAAAAAGGGTAAGGAGTACTGTGTGAAATGATAAACATCCTCTTTTCATTATCCAGCCTCTCTAATGTACATGCAGGTAACTCTAGTCATTTACCTTATCATCACTGACTCAAGATCCAATTTTTAAAAAGAGGTAGGAGATAAGTGGTACTTGATAATAGAATAAATACCAGTAGCACAAAGTGCTTTCTCAGCATTTTCTAGTCACAAATGGCGTTCATAAAAAGAAAAAAAAAAAAATATATATATATATATAAAGCATAAGTTAGGGCCTTTAAATCTTAAAAGATACAAAAAGCTTTATACAATAAGTGATCAAGGTTTAATCTTTTTTCTTTTTTTGAGACGGAGTCTGGGTCTGTCACCCAGGCTTGAATGCAGCGGCTCAATCTTGGCTCACTGCAACCTCCGCCTCCCGGGTTCAAGCAATTCTCCTGCCTCAGCCTCCTGAGTAGCTGGGATTACAGGCATGCACAGCCACACCCGGCTAATTTTTGTATTTTTTGTAGAGACGAAGTTTCACCATGTTGCCCTGGTCTCGAACTCCTGACCTCAAGTGATCCTTCTGCCTCAGCCTTCCAAAGTGCTGGGAATTCTTCTGCCTCAGCCTCCCGAGTAGCTGGGATTACAGGCATGCACAGCCATACCCGGCTAATTTTTGTATTTTTGTAGAGACGAAGTTTCACCATGTTGCCCTGGTCTCGAACTCCTGACCTCAAGTGATCCTTCTGCCTCAGCCTTCCAAAGTGCTGGGATTACAGGCATGAGCCACTGTGCCTGGCTGAGGCTTAATATTTTTGGGGTCATAGAACGTTTTGAAAAAATGCTGAAAGTTAAGGATGTTATTCCTAGAAAAACGTATACACAAAACTCACATACATTTTCAAGGGATTAAAGTTTCCCTAAAGCTATCCACAGAACCCAGATTAAGTACCCAATAAATTCCAATCCTTCTCACTTGTCAGGAGAGGAATATAGATGAATTAGTTTGACTAAATATGGTGAGATCATGGTAAAGCTAGGACTATCACACTATCACCTAAATTTCCCAGTCCCTAGAATAGTAGTTCTCAACTGAGGGTAATTTTGTATCCCAAGAGACATTTGGCAATATCTGGAGAAATGTTTGGTTGTCACAAGTGGGGAGGAAGTACATAGGCATCTAGTAAGCAGAGGCCAGAAGGCTGCTAAACATCCTACAATGTACAAAATAGTCCCTTAAAACAAAGAATCATCTGCCCAAAATGTCAATAGCGAGGAGGCTGAGAAACTGCTCTAGGGCAATGTGGTCCTCTCGCTACTGTGCTAGCTGCCTGCTGGGCCTGCAGTGCCACAGTTGCATACAAAGTAATGGAAGACAGCGTGCTGATTTAAAGAAATTATAATCTTATAGGAAAAGCAGGATGGATACACATAAACACAAGCTCACACACACAGAAAATGACATGGTAAATGCCAAAGGAATGTTTCAAGCAAAGTGTCACAATTAATCAGAGGAGGGACATTGCATAGTTGAAGTGACCAAAATCACACAGAGGAAATAGTCAAGATCACAAAAGAACTGCTGTTAAAAAAAAAAATGGGGAGGGCTCTGGCCTTCACCTTTTTTTCCAAGTCTTGCTCTGTTGCCCAGGCTGGAGTACAGTAGCGCAATCTCAGCTAACTGCAACCTCTGCCTCCCGGGTTCAAGTGATTCTCCTGCCTCAGCCTCACAAGTAGCTGGGATTATAGGCACCTGCCATCACACCTGGCTAATTTTTGTATTTTTAGTAGAGACAGGGTTTCACCATATTGGCCAGGCTGGTCTCAAACTCCTGACCTCAAATGATCCACCCACCTCAGCCTCCCAAAGTGCTGGGATGACAGGCGTGAGATACCTCTAGCCCTCAACTTCTTTTCTAAGGTGGAGTAAAACCATGATCTAACCACAAAAGACTTAGGCTTCCTTCTTAGGCACTGCTTTACCAATGAGGGCTATTTCCGTATCCTCACACGAAAGCATGCCAGTTTGATCTCATTGTCTATTTCTTGGGGCTCCGCCAAGGTTAAAAACACCTATAAAAAACTTGACTACTGGGGTTCCTGTTCTCTAATAATTCATCTGGATGTGACCAAATCACCCTTTTAAAAATTAATGAGTAGTTCCTTCCCTCTGTGATACCAGCTTTCTCCAAGAAAAAGCTATAAATCTCTACTTCTAATAGCTAGTACTGCTAATTTGACATAAAACTCACTACAAATTTCTAAGGTTGGATATTTGTACCTCTTTACAGTCACGTCTCATTGTCTACCATACATTGATTTCCTTGCTAATATAGTGGTGAGTAAAAAGAAAAGATAAAATACATTAAATAAATAACTAGATAAATAGACAGATAGGTAAATTGAGTTGTCTTTAATGTTTCTGGATTGTGCTTAAGATCCAATATACTATAATCAAAGTTTTCTCACTAGGAATCCAAATGTTTATGATTCTTCTAGCTACATAACTTATATTGAATATATAATTGGAAGAATAATGGTTCTAGGACAGTCAATTTAGCTTAAAGAATAAGATACCTAGTCTTTATTTCTCATATTTCCCCCCTTTTGCTTTCTAATGTCTTTTTGCCCTGACATCACTACTCATGGAAAACGAGAAACCCTTGGCTTATCAACATCATTAAAAAGTGACACGTTTTAATTTCATTTGCATTATTTAATCCAGTGGTCTTATTAGCATTATTTAATCTAGGGTTTTTAAAATTAGTCAACATATATAAAAGTTTGAGACATATACTACATATATTTATAAATTACACACATATATTACTGCATTAATGTGTTATAGATACACAAAACACAAAGTTTAACTGAGTAATACCAACAATCATTACAGATAGAATTTGTAACACTCTGCTGTTTCAGTGATTCATTTAGAGAACACTGGGTTAGAGTCCTCCTTCCAGAAGCCAGGGGATAATCCATTTTGGCTTCAGTATTCTTAAAAGAAAAAAACCAACAAAATGAAACAGCATTCTTAAAAAATAGTTTCTGGAATGGCCTGTGATTCTTCAAATGACTTCACGAAGGCAGCAAAGAATGACATGGGACCATCTTCTGGGCTGGAAGAGGTTAACTAATGAGCACCCCTAGTTTGTGGAGTTTATGTATCAGTTAAATTTAGGCCAGGGTTTTGAGATAGGAATGAGTTTACCCTGTTCAGGCGACAGAACTAAGGCCCAGTGTGGCTAGATGCTGGTAAGAGTAGCATGGGAAGAGAGTAGGAGGAGACAAAATCAGAGATGCTGAAAGACGCTACAGCAAGTAAGACCTTAAGAGCATGTAGGTAATTGAGACATTTGCGTTTTATTTTTATTTTTTCTGAGATGGAGTCTCACTCTGTTGCCAGGCTGGAGTGCTGTGGTGTGATCTCAGCTCACTGCCACCTATGCCTCCCGGGTTCAAGCGATTCTCCTGCCTCAGCCTCCCAAGTAGCTGGAACTTCAGGTGCCTGCTACCACGCCCAGGTAATTTTTGTATTTTTAGTACATACGGGGTTTCACCATGTTGGCCAGGATGGTCTCGATCTCTTGACCTCGTGATCTACTCGCCTTGGCCTCCCAACGTGCTGAGATAACAGGCGTGAGCCACTGCACCTGGCCATCTGCATTTTACTCTAAGCAATGGAAAGATTTTGGGCAGAGGACTGACACAATCTGATCTGCATTTTTGTTAGTTACTGTACAGAGAAAGGATTGCTACATGTGCAAGAGTCAAAGCAGGAAGGCCGGTCAGGGGAAGATTTGCAATAGTCCAGGTGAGAGATACTTGAAGCTTAGACTCAGGAGGTAGTAGGGATGTGATATAGTTTGGATCTGTGTCCCCACCCAAATCTCATGTTGAATTCTAATCCCCAATGTTGGAGGTAGAGCCTGGTGGGAGATGACTGGATCATGAGATGGAGTTCTTATAAATGCTTTAGCACCCTTCCCCGTTGGTACTGCATACTGAGTAGGTTCTCAAGATAATGGTTGTTTAAAAATGTGTGGTGGCTGGGTGTGGTGGCTCATGCCTATAATCCCAGCACTTTGGGAGGCCAAGGTTGGCGGATCGCTTAAGTCCAGGACTTTGATACCAGCCTGGACCACATGGGGATGGGTATGGTGGTGTGCACCTGTAGTCCCAGCTACTCCAGAGGCCGAGGTGGGAGATCACTTGAGCCTGGGAGGTGGAGAGTGCAGTAAGCCAAGATCACGCCACTGCACTCCAACCTGGATGACAGAGTGAGACCCTGTCTCAAAAAAAAAAAAAAAAAAAAAAAAAAAAAACCTCAAAAAAAAAAAAAAAAAAAGAAAGAAAAGTGTGTGTACTCTCAACTGCCATCTTGGTCCTGCTCCTTCCATGTAAGGCGCCTGTTCCCGCTTTGCGTTCCACCATG